CTGGGTTCTCAAATGTGGCGATGTTAATGGTGCCAGCCTGGTCATCATTGGTTGCACGCAATAAAACAAAACCCATAATTACAAATCTGGTGTACCGTTAATTCGGCTAAGTCCAGCTCGGATAATTTGATTTTTAAAAAAAAAGTTTGATAGACCGATGATGCACGCTATTCAGAAGGCATAGACCAGGCGCGCCGCTCAACATATTAATGAAGACTCGCCGATATAAAGATTTAAAGAACATTGTTTGGGACTCTAATGGTTTCGCTGTATTCATTGAGGTTAGTTAACGCCACGCACTCTAAAAATAACTTTTTTTTCTTTCAAGGTTCACCATCTGACGCTGCTGTCCAATTGATGGATCGCGTCGATTCGAGGGACTCCCAAAGCCGCTGTGCTGAGAGTTGGCCAGCAGATGGCAGTACAGCAAATGGTTTGTGAAGCCAGAGTCCAGGCCAGATACCACCCGAGATGGTTTAACTGCAGTGGTTCAAATTTTTTTATGTGGCCGACAACAATTAATTCCGTGATAACTATTTAAAATGAGTGGACTATTTAAATAATTAGCTCTCATTGGTCCATATATATGTGTCAGTACTCCTAAATATTGCCACCTGAGATGGTACCAATTTCTGCTCTGGCTCATGGACTGATGCAGTATTGTCCCCTCGTGTAAGTGTGTTGGATTTTCTCGAAAATTCTCCGGTTTCCTCACACGTGAAGACAAGCGCCCATCCGTGGAATTAACCAAACAGCTCAAATGTAGCAGGAGCTTTCCTGACAATGAGTCTTGAGACTCAGCGAGGAATCTCTGCATGACACTTGAATCGCTTTGTTCTACGACCTTCTGACAACCGATTATGCTGGTTTCGGTGAGTCCAAAGTTGTTAATAGAGCGATCCCTCTTTGTAAGGTACTTCATATTTGCAATTTCACTAGAACGTAACTTATTAATTAGAGAAGAATTTCGATATAGGTATATACTGTAGTTAAAGTCAATGACAAACCTAGGGTTCTATGTACGGAATTTTGTTTAATTGACAATTGTTCAAGGGCATCTTTTCCGTATATCAATGGATGCCCGAATTCGTATTTTTTAAGATGCTTAAGCAGACGAATATATGACAGAGACAGATGAGCAGAGAGTCCGACAGACACTCCGACCGCACAACATTATATAAATCTTATATCGTATGTTATGATCACTGTTACATTGCTTTTATGGCCTTATTTTGGTGATGTCGAAAACGTTTGTTGGTTTGGCCATGTTTGTTTGTTGTAGTACGGAGTTAGACTGATGGCCTTAATATAAGTTGTCTTGTGGTTGTTGTTATTTGACTTGCATCCCACTGGGATTTTTGCACACAGCGTTGGTATATGGTGCTTTTTCAGAAATATTTTGCTGTTTTTTTCCCTGGATTTTCTGTTTGCACAGTCACATAGTCACTTTAAGATGTTTTCATGTTCATGTTTTGTTTTTTGTTTGTTGCGGTTGCACCCGATTCAAGAGCCGAATGGCTCACAGGGCTAAACCAAATAAATGAAAAAAATAAGATGCGCTGTTTTTGCCCTTAAGCCACGCTTCGTTATACGAAAACTCGATATACGGAATTTCGCTTTCAGAAAACTACAACATTTGCGCAGGATTTCACCCACCCTTTTTCAACGTTCTTACTTCATTAAAAGTAACTCAAGATGTCTGGAAAGAGGCCATTACGTGCATATGATAGCAGAAGTGCAAAAAAACCCCATACATGTATGATGTAAGTACTGCACAATATATTTTACGTCGCAACTTACATTGAGTATTTTTTTCATTTATAACGTTTTCGATTTTTACATTAAATATAGGGCCGAATTTGTTTCCATAGGAACGCATCTCCAATGATATTATTGAAGTCAATAGGAAAATAGGGTTCGATGTGCGGGAATGTCCCGACAAAACGCACTGATGCACCACATGCAATACATTCCCTATCCACCGGTCTCCGCCTTCCCCTTCGCCAACCTGCACAGACCAGCGTGGCGAAGTATGGTCAAACAAGCCCCATGACCGGCACCACGTGGCAAGGCCTTTGTCTAGCGCAGGCGTCGGTAACCAAAATAACGAGAAGAGTAAAACAATTTTTCGAATTCGGTCAAATAAAATAAAAAAATCGATATTTCAAGAGCTGCAATGCACCTTGGTGAATACGAGACGGTGGTCCTTCATAAATAACGTCAAGAAGCAGTCCTTAAAGAGCCACATGCGGCTTCATAGCCGCAGCTTGCCGACCCCTTTGTCTAGCGGTTGGTTGTTGAAAGCTCCGGGAATGTACATCCTCCAATGTCTCTTGGTGCATCCATCATAGAGGTGTGTTTGGGTTAGATCGGCAATTAGTAAGGTTGGTCACGTAAACAGAACATGCCAATTCGTTACTAGTACAGAGGATATTTAAGGAACGAAACAGGGGGATTTCTCCACAAATCTGGCTGTCACCTGATGAAGCCAGTTGTAGTTACTGGCGAAACGTCCTGCTCATATTGTCAATGTTGTAGATTCGCTCTCCAACACACTGGTGTGCTATGCGAGTAACGAATTGGCATGTTCTGGTTACGTGACAACCTTACTAATTGGCTGTGTCGGGTGGTGGTGGGTTTAACAACACATTTTATATTTACGCGATCTAACCTAAAATAAAACTTATATTATGGATTTTATTGGTCGCGAAAGCCTACTACGTCTTGAACTTTCTTGGTGCACTTCTGGTTTCCACGTTCGGATATTTTCCGGTGAACAGAATTGCGCGCCAGTATTCTGCAATGCATTTTGTAAAGGTGGACCCGTCTTTATGAGCGCACTCATTAAATATGCCCACGTGTTTTTTTTTTTGGAGGTGGGGAGGGTAAGATACTAAACGCCACTGCAGAACCAGATGAAGTATGAAGACAAAAAACGTTCCAGCTCCTACTCTCGGCGCGTGTGACGCTCCCCAATAACTCCACGCGTCCAGGAGTGCTCCTGCTCCGACACCTGCTGGACACTCTCTTTGACTTTTAACTTTTTTTTCGTTCAAAAGTCAACTTAGACGAGATCTACTTTCGTGCTTTGAAGAGCCATTGCCCGAAACGTCACCTATTACGTGTTTTTTTTTCTTTTCGTTTAAGGCCACAGTGTTATTGGCGAATGTGCTGCGTTTTAAATATATTTTAACTTTGTCTCTGCACCACTGCCCAGCGCAGTTGCTTTTCACCAAGTTAATGTCGATATATATTTGTTTAACGAAATCACTTCCACTCTGCCATTTGGTAGGGAGAGAGGTCTCAGACGCTACTGCTGCTGCTGATGCGCAAATAGATTCCGGTGATATCACCATCCGTGATCAATCCACTGCTAGATTAAGACCTCCGCCAGACCGCCGTATCTCTCGTCGCGATTCTGCGATTTGGCAATCCACCTCGCACCTGCACACCAGCTGATGTCATCATTTACATCTCCTCGGTTTATGTCCACTCCGACGTTCCATTCCTCGTGGGAGTACACTTTTTAAATGTGTACACGTGTTGTATACGTATGCCCGGTGTGCCTAGGTACACCTTGTAAATATTTACACGTATGTACAGGTGCATTGTTACAACACAGAACCCTGAAAGATGGTAAGGGCCTAGGGAGGCCTTCATCCAGCAGTTGATTGAACATGGCTGATGATGATGACGATGCCGAGGTGCAACCTGCAATTATATACAGTTTTCGCGTTTCTAGGTACACTTCATTAATGTTTATGGGTGTCCCTTTTTCAACGTTGATACAACAAACCCCTTGACCAGATCACCTGCAATACGCTTCGGATGGCGTTTGGATGGATGACCACCACATCAAAAACATTGCCACGGACGAATGAGCAGTATCTCAATATTGCATGTCGTTGGTCTGGAGCCGTGTTTCTGGGTACACTCTTTAAATGCGTCCACGTGTTTTTGTGTACACTTTCTAAATGTGTCTGGGTGGGTGGGGGTCTAGAGGTCGCAAATTGGCGCGCGTGCCACCCATTATCCAGCCAATTAACCGTGCTGTGTCCTCCGAGTGCGTTATGAACTTCATGTTTCGTTAAAGTTTAATTTTAATACATAAACCGGAAGGTTATTTGCCGACTCTTGTCCAAATATGAACACGCGCGCGGGCACACACACACGCACACACGCACACAAGCACGGGTGAGAGTCCACAGGTGATCGGTGAGCACTCGGTTGAGTGTGTCAGGTTCATTAAACGAGGCTCATTGCAACCGCTCGGTGAATGAAGCCAGAGAGGGATTCATGGTCCACACTTCATCAGGACTAAAGTTCGATACCCGTGCGGGGGGGGGGGGGTGTTGTCGTGCTCGCGCTTTGTGTGTGTCTACAGGTGAGTCTGCCCGTACGCGTGCGTACAGGTTTCTGTGTGTACGAGTGTGTGCGGACGTTGGTGTGTACACGTGAGTGCGTGCAGATGAATGCGTGTGCATGAGGTTGATGTGTGTACAGGTGTATGTACAAGCGATTGTACTTTGTACATAAGTACTGTTGTAAATGTGTGTGTGTACTGGTGTGAAGGTGAGTGTATACAGCGCTGTGTACGGGTATGTGTATGGGCGCGCGTGTGTAGAGCTGTGCGTATGTACACAAGTGTGGCTGCATTGGTGCAGTGCAATGTACGTACAGGTGCGCAAGTGCAGACAGGCAGTGTGGGGAGCGGTGGTGGAGCGGTTAGCGCGCTGCGCTATGGAACCCGGCGACCCGGGTTCGGTTCCCGGTGACGATTATCTGAACCGGTCGTGGGCCTCCCCTAGGTCGACTCAGCCTCAAATTACTACCTGGTGCGGTGAGCAAACATCGCCACTGGGGAAACAAAGGCGGACGAGCGTGGTGCTGCCCCCCCCCCCACCCCCTCGTGTACCGTTTCGGCCTTCTTAGGTGCTCGCTAACAGCGCTTTCCACTACAGTCTGTTAAGGGATCTTTGTCTTTGCAGGTATCGGACGTCATGCAGCAGCAGCAGCAGCCACCCCCTCGCTGCCACCCACGGCTGCGTGCGACCCGCAGCCTGGACCCCGGGCTGTCGGGGGCCCTGGGAGGGGGTGCCCCGGGAGGGGGTCCCCTCTGCCGCTCGGATGCCCTCTCCTCGCTTCACCTCGCCGCCTCCCTGGGACCCCAGACAGACCCCCGCGCACAGCCCACGGGGGTCAGCTTCGACGGATGGGTGAGGAGTAGGGGTGGGTGTGATGGTTAGGATGTGGGATAATGCGGATGGCATGGGGCAGTGGGTGATGCTGAATGTGTGAGTGTGGTTTGGTGATATTGAGTGTGGATGAGTTAATGATGCAATTGCATGTTGAAATACAAATGTAAATCAAATCGAATCGTGCTGTGAAAAATTATGTTGTGGCATCCCTCGTGTGTGATGTGGGGAGCGATAGTGTAGTGGTTAGCGCGCTGCGCTATGAACCTGGCGACCCGGGTTCGATTTCCGCTCACGGCCAACCAGTGACGATTAGCTGAACCGGTCCCGGGCCTCCCCTAGGTCGACTCAGCCTTAAATGAGTACCTAGTTCGGTGTGTAAACATCGTCACTGGGGAGAAAAAGGCGGTCGGGCGTGGTGCTGGCCACCCACCCCCTCGGTCTTCATAGGTGCTCGCTAACAGGACTTGCCTCTACAGTCTGTTAAGGCTATACGGGGGAACTTTTTGTTGTCTTTGTCTCCCCAACAGGTGATCGTGGAGGGCCAACCTACGTCACGATCAGCCGAGTCCCCCCACACTTCCCGCGGGGTATGGGACCCTCCCCACCCTGCTCCCCACCCACCCACCTCACAAATCGATTCTAAAATCATAGACTTCGGCCGGTAAGTTTCATCGCAGCTCGGCATGAGTTTGGCACCAACACGGCTCAGCTCAGCTCAAAAACGCACGAGCGGCTTTGGTCAAGCTCGAGGAACTCCTCCTGAGTGTGGGCACGGAGAGACACGCAGACGCAGGCTCAGGGTCTTGAGACTCGGGTTCGGGACCATTATCAGAGCCGGCTCAAGCCAAGGCTAGCAGCGTGATTGCATTGCTTGTTGATGGTGATGATGGGTTTGGTGATCATTGAGCTAATGATTGTGGTCATTGGGAATAATGGTGTCTGGGATGATAATTTACAAAATACGAATGAAGATAATGTAACTCGTGAAGAAAATGGGTCGGTTAATTCGATTATTGACGATGATGGGACTAATCATTAAGTGGCTCGTGATAATGATTAACAGGTAGGTATATTGATTTTGATTTAAAGCTTTCGTGACTGTAGGGATTCATATTCTTGGTTATTTCGGTACAGTCACGTAGAAGGGAAACAATAACAATAATGTTTTATTGTTTTATATTTTTATTATTTTATTGTTTCTCTTCTACGTGACTTTACCGAAAGAACCAAGAATATGAATCCCTGCAGTCACTAAAGCTTTAAATAAAAAAAGGTTATTTTCTTCAGTTGCACCGACTTGGTGATCGTGTTATGGGTGCTTTAAGCTAAGTCAGGTCGAGTTGACCTCAGTGATGCGTCTTGATGGTTTCATCAACGTATCCTCCCGTCGGTGCTGGTGCAGCACAGGGGATCTGCGGAAGACTCGGGCTCTAAGAGGGAGGAGGCCGGTGCAGGGGCTCGCAAGAAGCGGTGGAGTTCCCTGCATGGGCCCAGGAGAGATGGTGGAGGGGTACCGGGGCCCGAGGGAGAAGCAGAGGCACGCAGGAAGCGATGGAGTTCCCTGCATGGGCCCAGGAGAGATGGTGGAGGGGTACCGGGGCCCGAGGAAGAGACGGGGGCTCGCAAGAAGCGGTGGAGTTCCCTGCATGGGCCCAGGAGGAATGGTGAAGGGATGCAGGGACTGGAGGAGGAGACGGGGGCTCAGAGAATGATATGGAGTTCTCTGCATGGGCCGGGGAAGGATGGTGGGGAGATGTGGGGACCCGGCGGTTCCTCGGAGAGAGAATCCTCCTGCTGGCTTGTGTCGCCTGGGGTGAGTCCACACGTGTTTGTGTGTGTGTGTGTTCGTACGTGCGTGTCTGGCAGTTGTGGGGAGCGGTGGGGCAACGGTTAGCACACTACGCTAAAAACTTGGCGACACGCTCATGGCCAACACCAGGGACGATTATCTGAACCGGTCCTGGGCCTTCCCTAGGTTCACTCGGCCTCAAATGACTACCTGGTGCGATGCGTACACATCGCAGATTGGGAGGCAGTCGACTGGACGTGGTGCTGGCCACCCACCTCCTCGTGTGCCGAGCCGGCCTTCATGGGTGCTCGCAAACAGCACTTGCCCCAAAAGCCTGCTAAGGTTATACGGGCTATCTTTTCCTTTGTTTTTGTGCGTCAGTTATAGGTACCAGACGTCCGAGTTTGGCCGGTGCAGTGCCGGTGTCAGTGTGTCCTGGCTCTGAAGTATGTGGGAGAATCCTACATTTGTGCCAGGTTTCATGATTTCTAACCTCATGCTATTCCATTCTTGTTCATGTCAAAACGTTCAGCAGCTAAATACGAATGTCGAGGTCTGCTCGCCACGACGAGAGGGCTTCAGGAGAGAGTTCGTGTAGTTGTGCTGTTCCTCCTGGATTGAGGGAGCACACCGACTACGATGGTTTACTATATGGTCCATAGATTGGGTTCATGGCCACATCCGCACTCCTGTAGCTTGACTTTAATGTTCCATTTAATCAGAATAATAATAATAAATACTCTCTAGTTATTTCGGTAAAGTCACGTAGGTATGGATTCCTGCCTGTCACGAAAGCTTCAAATCAGGACAGAACAAGAATATGTATTGATACCGGAGGAATCCAATGAGCTTTAGAGCTTTTTTTTCACAGACGACCACTAGTTGTCGCAGACGTTTAAGGAGATGTGCCCATCTCGGCCTCTTGATGTTCTGAAGCGGTTGGTGGTGCACCAGTGTCTTCTAGGTGCTGTATGTCAAAGTCAGGAGAGTGCGATATTTGGGTCTCGAGTGAGGTGTTTGTTTATTCTGGAGTAATGATACGGGCAACGGGCGGGGGCTACCTGGCCGGTGGGCGAGATTATCAGGCGAGTGGGCGTGGCCTATTTGCAGTAGGCGGAGCCAAGCTGGCGCAGTGGTTAAAACTTGTGCCTCGGGGCAAGGTAAACCTGGGTTCGATCCCGACTCGGACGTCTTTCTGTGTGGAGTGTATAGGTTTCTCGCCCTATTCTGCACGGGTTTCCTGCGGGTTATATGGTTTTCTCCCACAGCTTAAAAACAAGAATACTTTTATTTTGAGCCAAATATCCCAATGCTCATAAATTATGTGCAAAATACTAATTGTGGGGTTACACAAAGTAAGATAGCCCTCTACTGCGAAAACCTGCCAGAACCTTCCCGATAAAGACTCAGGCTTCCTGTGTAAACAACTGGTTTAAATCATTATAATAGTCACGAGTGCGAGGCTGCTCAGTGTGCATGAGGCTAGTGATTGAGTTGGTGTGGTTATGGAAAAGTTGGTGAGGCTGACAGATGGAGAAGTTGCTTGCTAGCCGTGTGCACTGGTTGAGCATCCCAGATAGCTATAAGTGACGATGTATGTAGATTCCTTGAGCATTTAGTGACTAAACTATAAACCTGGGTCCGTTCTGTGTCCTCCTCTCAACAAGACTTCAATTCTCACGTTTCCTCAATGAGAATCGAGCCTGGCACATACCTTGTATTGATGGTTAATGGCTGTCTTTGCTGTTTTTAGAGTGACAACTCACACAAAAGGTGATTTTTATAGGCACCAAAATACGCTAAGGTGCCCATGGGCAAGGTCCCCTCCAGCACGCTTTGCATGCCTTGCTCCTCCGATTAGCACGGTTGGCTACGCACGGTGCGAAAGAAGTTCAGCATGCATACATGTCACGTGATATTACCATCTTGCGAGTTTAATACGCAATTGATTTACACCACTAAAAGTTGTATTTTTATCTTACCATTATGTGTTTTGGCAGAGGTAGGACAATGAGACGAATGACAAAGTTTCGACATTTTTACAAATCACCATTGCAGTTCAGCCGTTGTCAGAATTCCGTCAGAGATTCTCATCATTCGTGAAAAAGGGTTCAAATTGGTGTTGCTGTTGTTGATGTTTATGAGTGTTGAAATTATTTTTTTAGGAGGCCGCTGAAGCGTGAACGCGTGCTCGTGCATGCGTTTGGCAGGCGATGCGACCTCCTCTAGCGTTTAATGATTTCAAAATAACTGTCGCATTAACAATGACGCATGAACCACAGTGACCGCGTCAACAGGCGGAGAATGCAGCCGTGGTCAAAGAAAGGCGACGGGCGCGATTAATTAATAACGCCGAACGCTTCCGGCACCGTTCCCTTTCACAAGCAGAGCCAACGTCTCCCAACGTATCACGAATTATCCTGCAAAGCGAAAAACTCCTGAAACTGCTTTCAAGTTCCCGCAGTGTCCAAATAGTCTCAAAAAACTTGCCGACTTCGATTTAAAGCTTTCGTGACTGCAAGGATTCATCTTCTTTGGTTCTTTCGGTAAAGTCACGTAGAATGAGAATAAAATAATAAAATAAAACAATAACATTCTCACGACGTTTCGGCCACAACACAAGTGGCTGCGAATCTTAGCAGCGTTCATTGTAGCTCTGTCGTCCCGACAGGTTTGTTCCTTTCACCTGAAGAAGGCCACTTGTGTTGTAGCCGAAACGTCGTGAGAATTTTATTGTTTTATTTTATTATTGTATTCTCATTCTACGTGACTTTACCGAAAGAACCAAAGAAGAAAAAACTTGCCAACGTTGGCCCAGCCTTGGCAAATGGCCCAACATTGGCCAAACGTTGCATGTTTAACTGGATTGCGTTTTGCCTTTAACGCCAGCCAAGACGCCGTTGGTAGTACAATTCCAGCACCAGGATGAGAGGCGACACGCAGAAAACACAGCTACTACTCGCTTTTACAGCCCCATTTATATAGGCAGCAGCTGAAATAATTACCCAGGCACGCTCTGGGGCAACGTATGCTCTCTCACACCGTTTGAATAACTATTGTTATTTAACACTACACTCTGCTGATAAGACTCCTAATGTAGTCCGCGCCGTGTCACTGACACATTGGGCAACCCAGTGCCTCCACTTGTCAAGGCCTTGTGCCATATAACCCAGTAACACCAGTTGACGCTGCATTATTTTTTGCGCTGTTTGATTCCAGCCCAACAGCGGTCGCTTTTGTCTTCACTTGGCATTTTCCAGGACCCACACGAAGGCCTGCTAGGTCCTTCCCTCTGATGCCATGTGCTTTATATGGGGCTCAACGAGTCCAGTCGTCATTATTTGCTCATCGATGTGATGAATGGCTGATTGGTCCGTTGACAGACCTCTTTGTTATCATGCCCTTCCAGGATGTATGCAGCACTCAACTATCTGTAGTGGGGGGCAGTAGGGCAGGGGGTAAAATGCCACCTTGTCCCTGGTACAAAAAATGTCTGGATACAGCTTGGAGCGATCATGTCCACTCAGCTCTGAAATACATTGAGTACTAATTTATTGGAAAATAATCAAAGGTCGCTGGCTTCTTTTAAGGTTGGCTTTTGGTACAATAACTTGTCATTTCCAACAATGGTTCAGGGCTGCCAACAAGAGATGAGGATTGCCCAAGGCCTGCTTGAGCTGAGACACTGGGAGATTGATCCCCTTGAGGTACGTTCAAATCCTCGACGGTCAACGAGGATCTTGTCTCATTGTGATGTGCAAATCCTTGTTGATTCGTTGGCGTATGAGGTCCGTGTCACTAAGTGTGAAAATGCGCCCTCGTGTGTCCGCACTGAGGGCTGCTGCTTTAACATGTTGAAACAGTGCTTGGTCCGTGAAGTCGTGTCTGTGCTGTGTATGTAAACTGGACTTTGTATTGGCAGCGAAGCCTAAGTGTCCTCATAATACATTCACCTGGCTTTGAGGCATTAAAATATATACGGTATATATTCGCCGAACGATCTGCTAGTCTGGCTCGATGAGCCTCGTCCGTTCATACCGAGGCATCATAATGCTTACTAAACGTGCACTTGTCTGGCCTGTTGAGTCTTGAGCATTGAAAGTGAAACGTAAGAATCCCAAACGTGCATTAGTATGGCTTCATGAGCCTTGTGAGTTTGCAGTGGATACTCAATCCTCAATGTATATTTGTCTCCTGTGACCGTTTGAGGTTAACACTGGAACCTAAGAATCCAAATATACCTTATTCTGGTTTCCTGAGCCTCCGACATATTAAACTACCGTGGTCGAATGGACCTATGTGAGTGTGGTAAATGAATATTGAACTCTAAGTCTCTTAGTTTTGTCAGTCTGGCTTTGACACTTCGGTGTTAACACTGAGCCTACACAATACGAAACCTACCTCCTGTTAATAATCTTCTCCGAAACATCAGAAATTGTTTCGTCACGCCACAGAAGTTCGTATCGTAAGCTCGCGCTCCGCACAAACTCGAAGTCATCAACATCATCAGCCATTGTCCATCCGCTGCTGAATGAAAGCCCCCACACCATCCATACCTCACAGTCGAATGGAGCTCCCGCACACGAAATACTAAAAACTTAGCTGCATAGCTCTTTTCTCAGAAGCGACCTGGCCACAAATGATAGCTCAACGAGGTGACTCATCACGTGGACATTTTACAGCAGCCAAATGCTCAAAACGCGTCGCGTTGATTCTAAATGTGGAGGGCAAAAACCGGAGGACCCGGAGAAAAATCCACGCGACCACGGAGAGAGAGAGAGACACGCAAACTCCAAATATACAGCAGGCGTCAGGGCCGGCATTGAAGCCACGACCTCCTGTATACCAGGCGAGGTAGTTAACACCTCGCCACCGTGGCACCCCACGAATTGACCTGTAACTCCCCGGTAGACGACCTGTTGGACACGTTCCCTTCTTTGACTGCCGCTCCGACGCTAGGCTCGACCGTCGGCCGTCATCTCTTCCAGCCTTTGTTTGCCCAAGCCCACGTCTCTGAATAAAATGAATTGGCTTGGGTAGAAGACGTCGCTAAAAATGGATGGACGATGGTAAGAGATATATATAAATAAAGCAGTGGCAGCCAAGAAATGGAAGGTGTTCGACAGGACATCCACCGTAAGAGATGGGACAATTAAAATCAGTTCGCGTGCAAAGCAAGGTGGATTATTACATCGCAGGATCGGGGGAGGAAGCAGTGATTTGTGGTGGCCTTTATCCGGCAATGAATTGACCGTGGCCAGGGGTCGGCAACCAAAATAACGAGTCATTTTTTTTGGAGTTCGGTAAAAAAAAACCGAAATATTTCAAGAGCCCCAATGCGTGTGAATATGAGACGGTGCTTAATAAAGAACGTCACGAAGCAGTCCTTCAGAGAGCCGCAGGTTTGCCGACCCCTGGCCATGTCTAATTATGTTTACACATGAATAACAGACACACACAGCTCGTCGCTAATATTTGAAGACTATGCCAGATTAGAATATATATTTTTTTCCCTTTCGTTGATAAGCCTTCTCTCTAGTCGTGTTCTACAAATAATTTCCCTTTGACTATAGCCCCTTTAATTTAAATATGAATTGCAAATACAACAAACAAACAAAAAACACCGTCCGTGTTCTTCATTAGCAAGCACGCGTTGCTCATTCAAATCTCCGCATGAATAGGGCATCTCCAGGGTTCCAATAATGATGGCAATGTTGATGTACAT